AAAGAGATGCCTTTTATAAATTCACTATTAGACATCCTGGAAGGCTTAAGCTACCAAACATAAAAACATATCTGTATCAAGGTAACAATTACCCATCATGTATAAGAATTTACAATAAACTACCAAATTCGCTTATTGATCTGTGTTTTAAAAGGTTCAAAGACATTTTACGTAAATGGTTGATTACAAAATGTTTCTATACACTTGAAGATTATTTTGCAAGTAAAATGGACGACATAACATAATTGATTCTTGAATGTAGGATGTTATACTCGTATAGAGTATATAGTTGTAAATGTATGAGCCGGTGACTGACTTCATGGTGAAAAATGCATGTGTAAAATTAAAATAATTGTTTGCATGTTATAGTTAACAATAATAATACATATAAAAATGTTACATGCCAAGCTGGCTAAATGTTAAGGTCACACAAAATGTATAATATTATCTTTAACTGCATTCATCGCAATAAATTTCATTTCATCCAAATACAAACGTGCCGAAAATAAAATGTGAGGGTCTATCATGAAATGAAATTCCGAAATTTCGGAGTCAATTTCGTGTTTTCGTTTATACCAAAATCGGACCAATAAATGGAGTTTAACATTTCGTTCGTCATACATCCTATCATAAAAGTCCAAAGGAACAATATTTTAACATTTTTAATATCTCCAAACGGCATATGTTATGTAATTTTAACATCAAATTTGTGTTTCGTTTGGCTCCGAAATTTCGGAAAACATTTCATGGTTTTCATGGTAGGCCCTCAGAGGTTCTATCATGAAATATTTTCCGAAATTTCGGGGCCGAACGTAACATAAATTTGATGTTAAAATTACATTATACATAAAATTCAAAAAAAAAATTCAAAATTCAAATATCATTTATTCATGTAGGACATTTTAGCCGCTTATTAACGTCAAATTTTTACATTATAATTTTATATTTACCCTACCGTCCAGTTCGGTATATAGATCCAATTGAGAAGAACTGGCAAGAAACTCAATTGAATTACTTTTTTTTTTTAAAGCCAGTTTATTTACAATGTATATTTATATAGGTGTCTATGTCTAACATTAAATGAAAATTCAGTGCATGAACAACTATTGCCATGCACACTCGTCATTCAAGTAATCGTTTAGTGAGTAATAGGCTTTGCTCAGTAAATATGATTTAACAGATGTTTTGAATTTATTTAAGGGTAATTCCAACATATCCTTTGGTATCTTATTGTAAATTTTTATACCTATTCCCATAAAAGACCTATTAACTTTTTCTAAACGATACTTGGGGACAGCAAGTTTGTCTTTAAATCTAGTATTAATATTATGAATATTGCTGTTTTTTGGAAATAAGTCAAGATTTTTATGAACATATAGAATATTTGAATATATAAATTGAGAAGCAACGGTGAGAATATTTGCCTCTTTGAATTTCTCTCTTAATGAGTCACGACTCTTCATACAGTAGATCGCTCGAACGGCACGTTTTTGTAATATGAATATATTCTTAATATCTGCCGCTTTTCCCCATAGTAATATTCCATAAGAGAGTAAACTATGAAAATAACTAAAATAGACTAATCTAGCAGTATCAGTATCAGTGTACTGTCTAACTTTACGCACGGCAAAAGCTGCTGAACTTAGTTTCGCTGCAAGGCTTTGAATTTGTGCACCCCATTGTGTTTTATTATCTAGTGTGATTCCTAGAAAGACAGTAGATTCTATAAATTCGAGAGATTCGTCATTTAATTTAATATTGCAATTAGTATTAAAACTTTTAGATAGAGAGAAATTAACACATTTTGTTTTTTTAGCGTTTAACATAAGATTGTTAGTTGTAAACCAGTGCAGGAGACGCCGCAAAGCACTATTTACATCGTCATAATTATTAGTCATTCTATTAACTTTAACATACAGTTTAAACAAAGGTATCTGTCTGACCTAATAAATTTACTAACACACTACTTCCAGTCCCTATTAATATTATCACTTTAAATTTTACTGTTAGCCTTATTAACAGTGGAACGTTCGATCAATGATAAGCTAACCTGGAAACCTTATCAGAACTTAATATCTAAGCTTCGTGCCTAGACTTACGTACCTATAAAACGTGCAGTTATTATACAACGCCAGCAATAGCATTATTTTGTTTTGCAAACGATGATAATAACGCGTGGACATCAAATACCACAATAATTTTCCAGAGGGAGACTTTTTACAAAAGTCGTTTGTTTGGGCACCTCTGTCCCATTCGTGTACCTGGCTGTGTTTCGATTTGAAAGGTGAGATATGGCAGTGAATTTACAGGGGACAGAGGAACAACACCTGAGTCATTAGAAATGGAAACGCATGGGGGTATCATGGGCGAAACAGTATACTCTGTTATGTCCATGGTACTGCTCATGTCTATAGGCGACGGTCACCACTTTCCATCAGGTAGACTTTTGTACAAAGTCTCCCTCTGGTTAAGAGCACGCATGAAATAATCTTATCAATAAGGTACTAATCGAAGAGATAACCTCATTAGAAGTCTTGTGCCATATAATCGTAGAGGACAAATATTAACCTACCATCCCTGGGGGGAAAGGAATTATTAATAATGGGGTCTAATAGCCCCATTACTGGCAATATACCCTCTCAGGTTGACCTCCACGCGGTTCCCCCTGGAAACCATGATGTTTAATTCTTGTCGAATTCATCGTGGTGGGCCAAATAACCTGCATTCATTCTCACCTATTATCTTCCACTGGTGCCCCGTCGGTGTATACCAATAGCGCGGGCGGGTTACCAATCCATTTTCACCCATTAAAAAAAAACCTACCATCCCTTACTGGTGCCCTGCCAACGTATATAGTTAACGCAGGCGAGGCTACCATTCTATTATCATCTATTAAACATAGCAGTGTTATTGCCAAGTTACCTATTTTTAACCACCCAGTACACTCTACAGTACAAAATCTACTAAATTACTAATTACATATAATAGTTACTAGCTCTCCGTCGTACATCCACTCCGAATGGTATCATGGTGTGTACAGAGTACTCTGACGAGCAGCTTCCACCTGGTGGTAAGGAATTAAAAGGATAGGTTGATAAGGATTTCTTTTTTAATGAGAGATAATGCAATGGTTACCCCACCCGCGCTAACGGTATACACCGGCGGGGCACCAGTGTAGAATGATAGGTGAGGATGAAGCAGGTCAGTTAGCCCATCGTGACGAATTCAACAAGAATTGTTCACGATGGTTTCCAGGGGGAACCACGTGGAGGTAGACCTAATAGGGCATATTGCTAGCAATGGGGCTGTCAAACTCCATTGCTAACAATCCCTTTTCCCCCGATTGATAGGGATTAATGGAATGGATGAAAAGGAAAGGTACAGCGGTAGACTTATTAGAATTTCAAACACTACCCTGTGTGTTGATGGATGCAAGTGGTACAGGGTTGTTAAATGCAGGAATCCATGGAGGTCATGTTTGTTAGTGGAAATGGTGGAAATGATGACCGTCCTCAAAGGAACGCCTATTAAGCTGATTCCACTAGACACGTTCTTAATTTTGGGGTTCTTCTTTTTTTACTACACAGGGAGCAAACGAGCATGCGGCTCACCTGATGGTAAGTGACTACCGCCGCCCATGATCGCCCACAACACCAACGGCATTGCAGGTGTGCTGCCGGCCTTTTAAAAAGGAATATACTCTTTTCTTGAAGGTTATGTTGTCGTATCGGTTCGATTTAAGGCGAAATTTCTAATCGTAATTGAAGTCGTAGGTTCTTTGTAAAATAATGGCAGTAGAACGAGAATACAATATGTTACCATATTTCTTTTCATTCCTAGATTATTACATGAAGTGTTTCCGAAACAAAAACACAAGCAAGAAACTCGAAATAAAACTCTTTTCGGCTTAGTAAACCAAGTGTATTTTAAATTTTTTTTTTGAGAAAAATTGTCAACTAATTCATGTATTCTTCTCCAACCACTATATCTATGTTTAATTTCCCTATACGATATGATACCTAGTTTTTTTTTTTATACCACTGAGGTGGCAAACAGGTATACGGCCCACCTGATGGTAAGCGGCTACCGTAGCCTATGAACGCCTGCAATACCAGAGGTATTACGCGCGCGTTGCCGACCCTGAAGAAACCTCTTTACCCCCTAGTGTAGTAGTGTGTAGTCTTAGTACTTAAGATAAAATGCTAACTCGTTGCAAACAGTGAGAGTACGTTAGATTATTGTTTTTTTTTATGGCATGAAACTGGAATTACAACCCCGCCAGCTTGTATTGGTATTGGGAGCGGGGTTGCTATTCCGTTTTTATATCATAAGTATACTAGTGACTGATGATAGGTCAGAATGACAGCGAGTCAATTGTCCCATCGTGACGAAGTCATCAGAAATTAATCACGATAGTCTCCAAGGTGGAATGCCTTGTGAAAGGATAGACATGAGCAGTACCATGGGCATAACAGAGTATACTGTTTTGCCCATGTTACCCCTCATGCGTTGCCATTCCTGAGAACTTAGGTGTTATTCCTCTATACCCTGTAAATTCACTGCCATATTAATTCCCTTCAAACCGAAACACAGCCATGCCCACAGCTTCACGGTAAAAATACGAATGGGACAGAGGTGCCCAAGCAAACGACTTGTGCAATAAAAAGTAAATAAAAAATAAAATCTCTCTCCTTCCTCTTCCTGTATGTTTTTTTTTTAATGGATGATGATGGAATGGTATCTCCGCCTACGCTATTGGTATACGCTGGCGAGGCACCATCGAGAGATGATAGGTGAGAATGAAAAAAAGGCAGGTCGGTTAGCCCACCGTGACGATTACACTTGGAATTCAGCACGATAGTTTCCAGAGGGGACCACGGGGAGATCGACCTGGTTGGATATATTGCTAGCAAATGGAGCTCTTAGTCACCATTACTAACAATCCCTTCCCCCACTCTTCCTGTATGTTGTGATGATGATATAAAAAGAGCAATACGCACTGATCATCCTGGCAAAGCCAAAGTCGCACAGCTTGACCACACCATCGCTGGTCAGCAAGATATTCTCCGGCTTCACATCACGGTGTATGCAGTTGTGTCGGTGGCAGTACGCTACTCCCTGCAGGGTCTGCCAGATGATCTGCTTGGACAGCAGTTCGGGACAACCCTGGGGACATTGCACTTTATATAATATTTAGCTAAAAGTAACGATTTAGTTCCGTGTGGTCCCGGCATAACATGGATCACCTCTTCTGGTAAGTAAGATGGTAAGTGACGACAGAAACACATGTTAATTTTAAGTAGCTACATTTTGCTTCAAAATAAAAAAAAAAAATCTATTACATTCGTAAAAACAACGTAGATGAAAGGAGCATGATGTTTCGCAGATATTTTGCATTTGAAATTATTAAAATTTAAAACGCGGAATGGCGTGTTTACATTGGCTTTTACAAGTAGATTTAACTTCGCAATAAACAATTTTTAGATCCGCAAAGAAATTAAATTAATATGAGACTGCCACGATAAAATACTTATCGATTAAAAAATTAAATGACAATATAAGTAAAACTTTAGGCAGGTATTAAAAAAATTAATATGGTACAAAAAATAAAATAAAAATTGTTTTTTTCAATTCTTTGTATAACCAGTAAACAATATTTATATTTTATATATAAAATAAAAATTAATGTTATTAAAATAAAATTAAAATAAAAATGCATGAGATAACCTTACCAGAGGGAGACTGTACAAAAGTCGTTCGCTTGGGCACCTCTGTCTGACTCGAGTTTCTACCGTGAAGCAATTGTGTTTGCATGGTTGTATTTCGATTTGAAGGGTGGGATATGGCAGTGAATTTACAGGATACAGAGGAATAACACCTCTAGTACTCCGGAATGAATTAGAATTTGGAAATCGCTTAAAATCTATAAAGTTCCGATATTATTTTTTTATACTACTTAAAATGGCAAACAAGCTGACAGCCCACCTGATGGAAAGTGGTAACCGTCGCCTATAGACATGAGCAGTACCATGGACATAACAAAGTATACTGTTTCGCCCATGATACCCCCCATGCGTCGCCATTCCTGAGGACTCAGGTGTTATTCTTCTGTACCTTGCAAATTCAAACCGAAACACAGTCATGCAAACAACTGCTTCACGGTAGAAACACGAATGGGACAGATGACAGAGGTGCCCAGGCAAAAAACTTTTGTACAAAGTCTCCCTCTGGCGTAATTAATATTAAATTATATATATCTATCTATGTATGTTTTATTGGAACACTACATTTACATCACTTACTCGTAATAATAACACAAAATATATAAATAATATGTAAATACAATACTATGTATGAGTATAAACATTATTTACAAACAAAAAAAAAAAAATTACTCTGTGCTAACCGCCCGCTATATACGGCTAATAACGACATTCAGAGGCGCGTGTTCGACCTCATTTTGTGCGGGTAATATTGCACCGACCAAAAGTTCTATAATCTCTTTTCTATATTTGGCACAATTAGTAATCAGGCTTAATATGTCTTTGTAACGAATTTAGTCTTTGATGCGATGCTCAGATTTTCTTTGTGGTTTTTCGATTTATGTTTTTTTTTTTTTGGTCCACTCCACACTTCCTTAAAAGTATGTTAATGATTTCTCTGTCTTTATTTGTCTTTTCAAAAACAAGCTGGTAAATTCGCGACAGACAGGTATTCAATATGTTCAAATTCTATCTGATTGCTCGTTTTATTGTTAATAAATTTTCCTGGAAATTTTATACAGAGGAATAAAACGCTTACGCTTCAAACTCTTTTCTCCTACATTCTTCACGACTCTGGAACGCGCTTCCAGATGCCATTAAGAGACTACCGACTAAACCGTCTTTTAAAAATGCGTTCACGCTCACTTTTTATCTATATCCGAGCAGTAAGTGCTTTATATTATTCCCAAATTCGTGTATAATATAGTATATATCATATATGTGTAAGTATATTTGTTATTCATATATATTTATTCGTTTATATATGTAATTTTAGTATGTATGTATATCAATAATTAGTAGTACCGCATTCGTGTATTCTGACACTTCCCTATGGTTGACTGGGAGAGAATGCTTTTAGCATTAAGTCCGCCATGTACACATATTTGTACTAATGAATAAATAAATAAATAAATAAAATTATAAATAATAACTAAATATTAGACTGGTAAAAATTCCTTTGTTTTCTATTAATCCAGATAAGGAACCAAAAACCTTTAACTACCTACGGTATTAACCGTCATTAACCCTACAATCGTGGCAGGGTCACGGTCACCTGCCAACCGCCGCGGTATAAATAGATATTGTTGATGTCAACGGCGAACACGCGAAACGCAAATAGAAAATACAAATGGAAAAAGAAAAAAGTAACTAACAACTAGGAGTGGATGATATATAACAATATGGATAATGTAATAATAATAATAAGAAAAGAGACGAGGGTATACATAGAGAGGTCATAGAATGTGACAAAGAATTCACCTCTCTTTCTCTGGCTAAAAAGGACTGGCAAAAACCCGAAGTCCAGGGTACCTCTCAGCGGGAGGCCGTATGGAAAGAGAAAGAGTTTCACGGAAGGTTCTTCAAAGCCCTTCACGGGCCGTACCTCAAGGCGAAGACCTTCGTGCACTGGCTACAATTCGGTGATCTCTTCGGAGAGACCGAGGGTTTTGTCTGTGCAATACAGGATCAGGTGGTTAAGACGAACAATTACCGAAAGCACATTCTGAAGGAAGGAATCACTGAGAACATCTATCGGGCATGTAGCCATCCCGGAGAGTCACTCAGACATGTGCTTTCGGGTTGTTCAACTCTTGCCAACACTGAGTACTTGCACAGGCACAACCAGGTAGCCAAAATACTCCATCACTAGTTAGCTCTGAAGTACGGCTTCGCGAATGAGAGTTTGCCGTACTAAAAGCCCCTGCCGGTCCTCGAAAACGACAGGACACGGACAGGACAGTTCTTGCAAACAAACCTGATATCGTGGTGATAGATCGGGCACTCTCGAGGGTGTTTTTGGTGGATGTCACCATACTGCATGACGAGAACCTCGTGAAAGCCGAAACCGAGAAAAAGAGAAAATGAATCGACCTGGCTCACGAGGTGACCGAAATGTGGGGGTGACGTCCACCGAAATCATTCTTAATCGTTTTGTCGGTGAACGGTCTTATCCCAACCAGTCTGGAACAACATCTCAGATGGTTGGGATTCCGCGGCGGTTCACTCCCGGGAAAGATGCAGAAAGCGGTGCTCTTAGATTCTGCCCGCATTGTACGCCGGTTTCTCTCCCTGGGGCCCTGAACCCCAGCCAACTGTGCTTCTGCCAGGGATTAGTTTGCCATCTCCTCTCCTTAAGAGGGGAGATGTGAATTTTTTTAAATAATAATAAATTTATTTACTTTAAATAGTGTAGGTATCGTTGGTTAAATGCGCCAAATATATTTTTTTTAAAACATTAATAAATATTTTACTAAAAAATTAATTAAGTAATTAGTTTTTTTTTTATACAACTTAGAATAGCAAACAAGCTGACGGCCCACCTGATGGAAAGTGGTATCCGTCGCCTATTGACATGAGCAGTACCATGGACATAACAGAGCATACTGTTTCGCCCATATATCTATATCCCCATGCGTTGCCTTTCTTGAGGACTCGGGTGGTATAGTTGGTATTTTTATTTTCTGTTTACTATGATAAATTATGTATGTATTGATTTGTATGACTAATGAAAAGAAATATTATGTAGAATAGATATAAATTTCTCATATTGTTAATAATTGCTGTCACTTATGGGCGGGAGCACCTAGATACCAGCTTAAACCCTTCGACTCAGTGCAACGACGAGCTATGAGAATTGTCGATGATCCCATGCTTGCATGCGGTATTGAACCCTTAAGTCTTAGGAGAGATTTTGCAGAAAAAAAAATTAGCACGCCGACATAGAGGCACAATGTAAATGGGAAATGTAAACCTCTTTCGTCTAAAACTACCTACATTCTAGCAAAATAAAATAATTTCATTTAATAAATAAAGTATTATAAGCCTATTTAGCCATTTACAGAATAGCATGCAAATGTCACATTTTGGTAGAAACTGATTAATTCATGCATCGACTACACCAACTATACTAGATATTTATCAATCCTTTTTTAAAGAAACCGTCCTTTTTTAAGTCTAATTTTTGTGTACAATAAAGTATAAATATGTAAATAAAGTATAAAGTGTAATAAAGGCCGGTAGAACACCTGCAATGCCATTGATATTGTGGGTGAACATGGGCGGCGGTAATCATTTACCATCAGGTGAGCCGCATGCTCGTTTGCCCCCTGTGTTGTAAAAAAAAAGTATCATAGTCCTCGAGAACAGCAAAGCATGTGTAATACCTACCATGTACTAGATAAATTGCCAAATAGGTCAGGGTCTAAAGATGAAAATATACTCACAGCAGGATACTTTTCAAGCTCGTGCAGCACTGTGTGGTCGCAGTACTCGAAAACTAGGTGCAGCTTGCGCTTTCTGCGGAACACCTCAATCAGGTTCACCAAATTCGGGTGTTTCAGATTCTAGGAAGAAAAACAACTTTTTATTAGGCGTGGGTAATTTATAGCAATATCTATATATTTTGATTACAATATTTATATATTTTACCAAAGGGAGACTTTGTACAAAAGTCGATTGCTTGGATACCTCTGTCCCATTCGTGTTTCAACTGTGAAGCAGTTGTGTCTGCATGGCTGTGTTTCGGTTTGAAGGGTGGGATATGGCGTGAATTTACTGGGTACAGAGGAATAACACCTGAGTCTTCAGGAATGGCAACGCATAGGGGGTATTATGGGCGAAACAGTATACTCTGTTATGTCCATGGTATTGCTCATGTCTATAGGCGACGGTTACCACTTAATGGATATTAAATATCAGTTATCTAATGTGTAATATTGAAATGGAGAACACTGTCGGAATGATTATAAATATCCGATGGGTACGGATGATGAATGGATGATGACCTTTTTTCCAGGGGGACAGGAATTGTTAGTAATGGGAAGGGTTTTGGTGGATGAAAATGGAATGGTAACCCCGCCTGCGCTAACGGCATACGCTGGCGGAGCACCAGTGAAGGGTGGTCGATGGGAATAAAAACAGGCCAGTTAGCCCATCATGATGAATTCATCAGGAATTAACCATAATAGTTTCCAGGGGGAACCACGACGAGGTCGACCTGGTTGCGTATATTGCTAGCAATGGGATTTTTAGTCTCCATTACTAACAATCTCTTTCACCCCATAATGGGGAGGTTAGTTCCCATTGCTATCAGTATACCTTATTAGGTCGAGGTTTATTTTTTGTGAAATACAGTCTTACGTATCGACAACTGCAGTCGATTTTTCTTTTTTTTTAAATAACTCTGATGTAAGCGATATTGAAGCTGAAATAATTAAATTTATAATTTTTTTTATTTTTTTTTATACAACTTAGAATGGCAAACAAGCTGACGGCCCACCTGATGGAAAGTGGTAACCGTCGCCTATGAACCCTTCAAACCGAAACACAGTCATGCAAGCACAACTTTTTTTTTTTTTTTTTTTTACAACACAGGGGGCAAACGAGCATGCGGCTCACCTGATGGTAAGTGACTACCGCCGCCCATGATCACCCACAACACCAGCGGCATTGCAGGTGTGCTGCCGGCCTTTTAAAAAGGAATATACTCTTTTCTTGAAGGTTATGTTGTCGTATCGGTTCGGAAATACTGCTGCTGGAAGTTGATTCCAAAGAATGGTTGTGCGTGGAAGAAAGTGCCTTGAAAAACGCACGGTGGAAGACCGCCACTCGTCCAGATGATTGGGATGAAACTTTAGTTTGTGGCGGGTTGTACGGTGGTGAAAATCAGCAGCAGGTATCAATCCGAACAATTCCTCAGAACACTCCCCATGATAAATTCGGTAGAAGATGCACAGAGACGCAACATCTCTGCGCAGTTTCAATGGGTCAAGTCGGACAGTAAAGCGTTGACTATCGATAATTCGAGCCGCCCGACTTTGAATGCGGTCTAACGGAAGGAGTTGGTACTGTGGTGCTCCTGCCCACAGGTGAGAACAGTATTCCATATGCGGCCTGACTTGGGCTTTATATAATTTCAGGCGGTGTTCTGGCAACAACTGCTTCAAGGTAGAAACACGAATGGGACAGAGGTTAGTTACTAATACTTATAAAATATTATAAGTATACCGACCATATTTGCCCTAGCTCACATTAATAACTTGCTTGTATAACCGTTTCTGCTCTGAGGAATTGTTTGAAATGATGCCCCAAGCCACCTTTCATCATCGCACCGCTCGCCATCGACAGGGAATTTATCCTCACACGCTTGATCCTAAATGGTCACGTACGTAGTGCGGTTTCAAAGGAATTTTCTCCAGCAAATGCTCAGGCTGTGAAATTAGCTCCCTGCCGAGGTTTTCCCTAGGGACTACAGTATGGGGTTCTTCAAAAAGGCTATATTAAGGTTTCATCAGGGACTGCAACGCGCACGTAAATCTAGTATTGCAGGCGTCCATGGGCTACAGTGACCGTTTACCATCAAACGGACAGTATGTTTGTTTACCACCTTTGTGGTATAAAAAAAAATTAATAAAAAATGATATTTTGAGCATTATCCTTGAAAGTGTATGATTACGTCAGCATAGACAGTAAATAAACTACCCTGCCAAATACACACGAATACGCTAATAAATGTAACAAGTCTGTGAGCTTTTCATGATACAGCATGTATGTATGCAAATTACCCTGGAAGTGGAACGAACTTACTTTCACATTAGGTAACTACACTATGTCTAGATTGAAATTTGAATAGACGAAGGTTTCGTGTTTCCCAGAAATGTAATTCCTAAGACCAGAGGGAGACTTTGTACAAAAGTCGATTGCTTAGGTACCTCTGTCCTATTCGTGTTTCAACCGTGAAGCAGTTGTGTTTGCATGACTGTGTTTCGGTTTGAAGGGTGGGATATGGCGTGAATTTACTGGGTACAAAGGAATAACACCTGAGTCCTCAGGAGTGGCAACACATGGAGAGTATCATGGGCGAAACAGTATACTTTGTTATGTCCATAGTACTGCTCATGTCTATAGGCGACGGTTACCACTTTCCATCAGATGGACCGTCAGCTTGTTTGCCATTCTCAATTATATAAAAAAATATATATTTTGGTACTAAATGTAAAAGTGTTTGTGTTTGTTTGTTACGTCCTGACGAACAGCTTAATCAATCACTATGAAATTTGTTATACACGTGTTAAATGAAATGGAGGACATGCTACTATCTGCGAATATATCATAGTTCTAAGAACAAAGTCACGCATTAAAGCTAGTATTCCTGTTTCGTTTACTAAATAAAATGTACTATAGTTAATCTACGCCTACACTAACATGGCATGCTGCTTGAACTTTTTACTTCAATGTGTGTGACTATATACAGACGTGGTGCTCTGTTTATGTTTGTGAGGAGACGTCTAACGGTCTGGCCACAGAAATATTATACTCCTTGGTTGAATCCTTATAAAAATTTTTACACGCACATTTTTAAAACTTTGAATTTTGGAGGGGCATGCCACATTATTATGGAAAATATATAGGTACTTATTTGACCTCCGTTTGAATACCTATTATTTACCAACCTGCTTGTAAAGCCACAGGTGACGGATGACCTACTAAGCAGCTGCTAGGTGTTGATAAAGGAAATAATTTAACACAGTTTAACACGATCGATATAGCTCACCTTATTACCATACTGTTGAGGTGACAGAAATCGATTGTCACTTGCTTTTATAGTGCACTTTGAACGTGGAAATAATTAATAGCTGTATATTAATTGCTTTAGCAAATAGCCTTTTATACTCCATAAGTGTAGTGCATATTTATCTTTATATTATTCTTTAAGTAGTAGTCTTCCTATGCCACTGTGTTAGGTTGAAGGAAGAAATCTCTTTTAGAGATAAATTCGCCTTTGCTAACATTGTTATTAACTTATTGTTGTTACTGTATGTTTTAGTGCAATAAAGAATATATATATATATATATATATATATATATATATATATATATATATATAACAAATACATACATAAACATACAAGCTTAAAAGCACACATACAACAGAAGAGAGTGACACTGGAAGATGAAGATGAAGACTAGAACATGGGAAAATAGTTAGTTACTTAAAGGGAGAGATAATGGGCTTTAACAGAGGAATTTCTTTATGAAGTTGTCATTATGGGTAAACTGACCCACTGAGTCTGAGTGACTGAATCATTCAAGTTTTCACTACTGTCGGCCCTCCCGGAATACCACTGTTTTCTTTTTGATGGGTTGACGTTTTTATGACTAAGGGGTAAGTGTTTTTTTTTTATATATATATACCACAAAGGTGACAAACATTATCACTCCCATTGCTAGCAATATACCTTATCAGGTTGAATTTCACGTGGTCCACTCTGGAAACCATCGTGCTGAATTCCAGGTGTATTCACCACGATAAACTAACTGACCTGCTCTTACATCCTCACTTATCGTCCCTTACTGGTGCTCCGCCAGCGTATACCGGTAACGTAGGCGGGGTTACCATTCAATTATCATCCATTAAAAAGGTGACAACAAGCATACAGCCCGTCTGATGGTAAACGGTCGCCGTAGCCTATGGACCTACCTTCAGCATGCGTATCTCTCTGAGCGCAATCTTCCTGATCAGCGGATCGTCCTCGTTCTCCACAAACTTCTTGACGGCGACGATCTCGCCCGTGTCCCGGTTGCGGCACTTGTACACCAGGCCGTACGACCCCTCGCCCAGCTTGGCGAGCTTTTCATAGCGCTCCATGGCGCGACTGCTCGCGCGTGACCTGCGTAGATGGAGAAAATAAATTTTGTTACCGTAGACCAAATTTTTTTTATACAACTTAAAAGGGCAAACAAGCTGACGGCCCACCTGATGGAAAGTGGTAACCGTCGCCTATAGACACGAGCAGTACCATAGACATAACAGAGTATACTGTTTCACCCATGATACCCCCTATGCGTTGCCATTTCTGAGGACTCAGGTGTTATTCCTCTGTACCCTGTAAATTCACGCCATATCCCACCCTTCGAACCGAAACACAGCCATGCAAACACAACTGCTTCACGGTTGAAACACGAATGGGAATAAGAAGATGTAAGAGTTTTGTGGGATGGAATATTTATATTAAGTGTCAAACAAATAAAAATATTAATTTTAATATATTATTAGTGTTTAAAAACATCGAACATCGATTATTTGTTTTGAATAATTTAGGTAAATGTCGGCGGTGGCTTATCTGTTTCATATAGACATAAAATCAGTACACACATTGTAATCAATATTGTAATCCTTGAAATATTAATAACCGAATATCAAACACTTATAATTTATTTATATATATATATATATATATATATATATATATATATATATATATATATATATATATATATATATATACACTATTTTTACAGGTAAATAATCCTAATGCAATAGTTTGTATGAACACTAATGTACCTATGTTTTTTTTTTAATGGGTGAAAATGGATTGGTAACCCCGCCCGCGCTATTGGTATACACCGACGAGGCATCAGTGGAAGATGATAGGTGAGAATGAATGCAGGTTAGTTGGCCCACCATGATGAATTCGACAAGAATTAAACATGATGGTTTCCAGGGGGAACCACGTGGAGGTCAACCTGAGAGGGTATATTGCCAGTAATGGGGCTATTAGACCCCATTACTAACAATCCCTTTCCCCCCAATGTAACTATGTCAATGGATGATAATGAAATGGTAGCCCCGCCTGCATTAGCAGTATACGCTAGCGAGGTATCAGTGAAGGATGAAAACGCAGGTCAGTTAGCTCATCGTGATGAATACACGATGTTTTCCAGGGGGGGGGGGGGGCATGTGGAGATCGACATGGCAGGATATATTGCTACCGATGGGACGGGTAGCCTGCATTACTAACAATCACGATAGACTAACAGACCTGCATTCTTGCTCACCTATTATCCCTCACTGGTGCCCCGCCAGTGTATACCGATAGCGCAGGACTAACCTTAGGGAGGTTAGTCTTAGGGAGGGAGTTAGTAGTTACTAACAACCTCTTCCCTCCATTCAAGGCTTTTGGTAACCTAGCCACGCCATTGTATTTAACCCTCTTATTTATAAGAGGGCTTAGAGTATAGATTGTCTACAATAACATGGCACGTATCGGGGGGAAAGGGATTGTTAGCAATGGAGTTCGACATTGCTAGCAATATGCCCTATCAGGTCGACCTCCACGTGGTTCCCCCTGGAAACCATCGTGAACAATTCATGTTGAATTCGTCACGATGGGCTAACTGACCTGCTTCATCCTCATCTATCATCCAGCGCGGGTGGGGTTACCATTCCATTATCACCCATTAAAAAGAAAAACATGGCACGCATCTTCAAACTTCAAAGAATTAAAAATATTAATATAAGAAAATATTTACAAGGTAATTCTACCAAGGAGTATAATATTCCTCTAGCCAGATCGCTACTGAAGATGTTTCCACACAAACAAACAGAACACCACCGTCTGTATACTTTCTTTATTGTACACAAAAGGTTATTGAAATGTAAAAACAAACATAATAATGCACAAAGGCGAGCTTATCTCCGATAGAGATTTCTTCCAGTTGTATAAAAAAAAATAAACAAAACGTGGTTATTTTATTAGTGAAATCTTTTGAAAAAAAAGTAGTATTAAAAATGTACATCGTTGAAATTTTTAGCAGTAGCTTGTCGAAAATAGAAGCAGTTCAGAAATATCTGAAGTAGGGCTAAATTTTATTAATTAATTCCACTAGTAAACATAGGCCTTCCATATAGATTGCCATAAGGAACAGTCCCGAGCCAACAGCCATTGACTCCCTACAATGCATTTTATATATAAATATCATTCTAAGATTGCTTGGAAAAGATCACTACTTAGCGATAAGGCCGTCGATTGTTACCTCTTTATCTTGCTTTTATATAATTAATTATTCATTTTGTTTGTATACATATTGTTAATATCTTTATAATCTGTAGCATTCTTTGAAGGTAACAATAAAGAGTTTTCATTCATTATTGTTATAACAATTCGGTTTTTACTGTTATAATGACTTTTATTCATCATATCAGCCAATGACTGTCCACTGCTGAACATATGTCTCCTTCTATTGGGGTGTTTTGCCAGTAAATAAATAAATAAATAAATGTATATTAATCATCTCAGAATAGAAAAAACATCTCATTGTTCAAGCGTGAAACGACCGAAAATGGTACCCGTGACATAATGTAAACCGGAGGGAGGAAAGGGATTTTAGTAATGGAGACTGAGAATCCTATTGCTAGCAATATACCCAACCAGGTCGACCTCCTCGCGGTTCCCTCTGGAAACTATCATGGTTAATTCCTGATGAACTCATCATGATGGGCTAACTGGCCTGTTTTCATTCTCATCGATCACCCTTCACTGGTGCTCCGCCAGCGTATCCCGTTAGCGCAGGCGGGGTTACCATACCATTATCACCCATCAAAAAAATGTAAACCGCAGGATTGAAGGTCGCTCATGCAATTTGGTTGCATTTACTAGTAGGTATATGAATACATCTAATTAATATCTGCAGCAAGTACTGTGAAAGTTGTTTAAACGACTAAACAGTAGAAGCATGCTCCAATAGGTAGACCGACTGCTTTAACTGGGTTTAAATGGGCTAGAAACGTGAACGTAACAGTACAAGAATTCGATTAAAACATACTATTATATAAGTGTTTATAAGGGACTTCGTCTGCATTGCCACATGCGTTTTTTATGCTATTTAGAATGGCAAACAAGCAGACGGCCCACTTGTTGAGTTAGTTTTAAAATAAATTCCAATAAATTGATATTGAAATTGAGTCGTTTTGCACTCCCGAATGGCAATACTAACGATATAATGGTTCCATATTGTTCTGATAGTTTTTTTTTTATACAACTTAGAATGGCAAACAAGCTGACGGCCCACCTGATGGAAAGTGGTAACCGTCGCCTATGGACATGAGCAGTACCATGGACATAACAGACTATACTGTTTCGCCCATGATACCCCCCATGCGTTGCCATTCCTGAGGACTCAGGTGTTATTCCTCTGTACCCAGTAAATTTACGCCACATCCCACCCTTCAAACCGAAACACAGCCATGCAAACGCAACTGCTTCACGGTTGAAACACGAATGGGACAGAGGTACACAAGCAATCGACTTTTGTACAAAGTATACAAATTATTGTAAATCGATCCCAATTATAACCTAATTCCTAACTGTCGTATCACGACTGCAGTATAAAATTGTCATTGGCAATAAATTAGATTCATATTGATATTAGATTTAATAATAGACCTGCTGATGGTAACTAGTAACGTAACATGGACGTAACAGAGTATACACGTGTCGCCAATGATACCCCTCGTGCGTTGCCATTTCTGAGGATGTTTATGAAGTTTATTGATTAACATACATTATTACATATTTTATCTTTCCTTCTTCATTCCAAATATTCAGATAAATAAAGAATTTTCCAAATCACTTTTCAATTAACTGCGTTATTTTTTTTTTACAACACAGGGGGCAAACGAACATGCGGCTCACCTGATGGTAAGTGACTACCGCCGCCCATGGTCACCCACAACACCAACGGCATTACAGATGTGCTGCCGGCCTTTTAAAAAGGAATATGCTCTTTTCTTGAAGGTTATGTTGTCGTATCGGTTCGGAAATACTGCTGCTGGAAGATGATTCCAAAGAGTGGTTGTGCGTGGGAGAAAGTGCCTTGAAAAACGCACGGTGGAGGACCGCCACTCGTCCAGATGGTTGGGATGGAATTTTAGTTTATGGCGGGTTGTACGATGGTGAAAATCAGTAGCAGGTGTCAATCCGAACAATTCTTCAGAGCACTCCCCATGATAAATTCGGTAGAAGATGCACAGAGATGCAACATCTCTACGCAGTTTCAGTGGGTCAAGTCGTATAGTAAGACGCCGATCGTCAACAATTCGAGCTGCCCGACTTTGAATGCGGTCTAACGGAAGGAGTATGAGGTAACAAACATAAATTAATAGAACCGAAGAGAACCTCCTTCTTTTTGATGTCGATTAAAAATAGGTAGTAGTAGGTGTATCCTTAGAAACAGTTCTAAGCTCAATGGCGCTAAGTTCCAATATACTCGTAATCATTCATTCGAGTGTTTCTAAACCTCCATTTAAACCGAGATTGTAGATTTTTTATGAAAACTTGAATATTATTTGTTACAAAATCAGAAAAAAAACTAGTCTAACTCATATTTTTAATAGCCATTCTCCATTGTATAAAATTTGATAATTAAAAAATCCATGTGTGTGTGCACTATATAGGTTTGTATGTATTTGTATGAATAAACATAAAATTATTTCAGCATTAAAAAAATAAAAAATCCGCTTGCCAAACATGGCAACTACTGGCAAATCCCCCAATGAGGAGGCTTATGTTCAACAGTGGATAGTTAAAGACTGATTATAACGATGATGATTAAAAAATTTAATACTATTCTAATAATTATTAATTAATTATTTATTAATAAAATCATTATGAATAAATTAATAATTCATTCATAATATTAGATAGATACATACATAGTCTTTATTGTTCCTCCAAAAGATTTGTTTTAATGGATGATAATGCAATAGTAACCCCGCTTGCGCTAACGGTAAATACTGGCGGGGCACCAGTGAGGGATGATAGGTGAGGATGAAAAAGGCAGGTCAGTTAGCCCATCGTGATCAATACAGTTGAAATTAAGCACGATGGTTTCCAGACGGGGCCTCGAGGAGATCAACCTGGTTGGGTTTATTGCTAGCAATAGAACCCTTAGTCTCCATTACTAACAATTTCTTCCCCCCCCCCCCCTCTTACTCTAAAAGATTAATAATTTATTTATTGTTAATTAATTAAATAATTCCTCCTCGGAGATCGATCGGATATTTACAGTACTTTCCACAGTAATATTAATTACCTGAAGGTGACAACTTCAGGGGATGTGATACACCTGTTAATCTCCCCCTTCATGGTGCACTATAATTTCATCCATATGACGTTGGTAATAATTCACAGCTAGATTTCAACCATAATTGAATACGTTATCCAATTATACAGCTGATAATGCAATCTGAATTACCTAACTTATCATAAATAGATAACTGTACAGATTAGGCGCTCTTAGCAACATGGCATTTAGTATGCATTTGCAAAATGAAAATATAAATACATATTTGACATTACTCTGGAGAAGTAACCTGACAGAATGAAACCAAAGGAAAAAGGTAACTGATTATGTATTTTATAAATTAAAAAAGTCTGTATGTAAATATAATTCTGTGTTCGTAGCTGAAATTATGTAAATTACTCTATGATATTCTTTTTATTTTTTCTATCAAATATCTTTGATTCCCTTTGTTAAGAATATAAGTTAAAAATAATTAAAAGAGATTTCTGCCCAGCTGTGGGATACTATAGGCTTTGTTTGATTGAATTACGATTTCAAATGGGTAAAGTTGGGCAAGGTTGATAAAACCGCAATACGACTAACGATGATATTTGACTTAGAATGCTGGCTGGCATTAGCGTGTTTAGGATTCTTTTCCAGGGGGGACGAAACTGCTTCGCTTACACCCTTGGATGGCCACCAGCCAATTCTGGGGTAAGCACGCCCCCCTCCCCTCTCAATACACCTATGAATGCTGGGCGATTCAAAAAGCATACGAATAATCTGCCCATGGCCTTTTTATATATAACACAGGGCACAAAGGAGCATACGACTCACCTGATAGTAAGTGATTATCGCTGCTCATGAACACCCGCAACATTGGAGGTATTGCAGATGTACTGTCATGAGATGAAATACCCATTTTGGGTCACTAGACCTGACATAATGAGGAATGAGCACATCAGTTTTAATATCATACCTATAGCAAATAAACTTGCCGAAAAATAGATTGCGATGTAATGAGACAGGATCAAAATCATGCCATACAGAGAGCTATTCCCAATATTAGGAGGAACAGAGAACGGCTGATGACAATTAAGTCATCCACTATGGCAAAAGACTTAGATGGAGCCCACCTGAATGAAATAACAACCTAGAACAGACGAGACCAATGCATCAGAACGGGAGAACTAAGCACAAATAAAAGGGAAGAGGCTAAGACAAAAAAGTATCTGCTGCCCAAAGGTCTAGACCAAACCAATTATTATAAAAAAGAAGGAATCAAAATTTCTATTAATATACCTAATTTCTCCTAAATCCTTACTAATTTATAAATATCACTTTGTTTATTACCATTTGGCGATTTAATAGCTCAACCGAAGGTCATTAAATTTGGTATAAACGTACCTACAATTTGGGATAGAGAAATAGAGTTAAGACATAGGCTAGTTTATGATTCGGTCATTCAAAGATTTGGTCATACAGACGAAGTCGTGAAATCAATAAAGAGCATATATGTTAGACCTAAATAAAACATAACGTAGGTAACTACATATGCCTTCAGTGTTTTGTCCACTGCAGAACATCTAAATAATGAAACTGGAATTCTGTGGACATCACGATATGAAGGTCGTTGGCCAGTATGCATTATTTATAAATAATGCCTTTGTCTTAATGGCTTTATTTAAAAAAAAAGTTACCTTCTCGGTAGCAGCGGCAGGTTGTTACCAAATAACCACAGCCGTTTATCACCGAACCATTTCTCCATACAGGACGCCACGTTGTTCCACAGTTTGAAACTTGACCAGTCCCAAAGCACGATCGAATTATTCATTCGCGTTTATGTACGACGTTATAACGAAACGCATTTCCCGCCAAAATTTATGTCAAATATTCGCGCTATACGCCTGAATTTATAACGAGGTATATTGTTTCGCGTCTGAACAGCGGAATGTATGACGGAGATGTTGTCCTTCTGAAGGCTGCTAAGCTTTTAGTACTAAACGATGGTAATATCGATCGCCCTTTTGTTTACAGTTTTATGTTAGCCTGTGTACATGACAACGACGGTGGTGGTAGGGAAAAATGTAGGCTTGAGTTCAGATTACTTGAAAAATATATTGTTAAACTTCTTTAAAAGTAGAAGTTCAACATCAGATAGAAGATTTTCAACTGTCTTCAAAAAGAAGGAAGTTCTCATTTTTATTGTATTTTTTATGCTTATTATCCCATAACTCTGTCAGTTCTAAACCGATTTGAAAAATTCTTTTTTATCTGAAAGGATATACTTATAGATATTTTATCAAAATCGGTTCAGTTATTTCATTTTTTAAATCATCTTTACAATAAAGACTTCGCTGTGATATCAAATTGAATTTTTTTATTTTACAGATAAATTTAGAGAAATGACACCTCAGAATCGACCCCACTGAATCCTAGTGTTTCCATTATTAATAATTAACTAAAATACGTTGTAAATTCTAGACGTTTCTGCCGTATTCTCTATAATAAGAGAAGTTATTTCTTATCTCTTTTGTGTGAACAAAAATATTTTTTTTAAATAAACTTATATAACAAAATTGTAACTAGACAATATCTGTATATGGGAGATATTTAAAAATATATATATTAGGGGTTTCCATTATGACAATAGGAGTCAAAACAATATCTTTTTAATTTATGTCAGTCTATATAATGGTATTTTTTTATTGTTTATTGAGTTAAGATTCACTTTTGAATATCAAGGTGCAAGAAAACACACATTTTTAAACGGTTTTATTTAGCTCGACCCGTACGGTATTTATTACTAGAGTGGATATATTTTCACTTATAATATATAATATTGTTGATTTCAATTCTACGGTGGCGAGACAATGGTAATAGAATAGCCTGTAAACATTAACGCTAACCAGTGTTTGTTTCTATTGTTGATATTATACCATAAGTATATTACGTTAACAATTATTATTTATTCAACATTGTTCATTGTTCTATCTGTGTTCCATGCAACATGCAGAAAAATTCTATTAATATTATATTATAAATTTGAAAGTTTGTAAGAATGGATGAATGTTTGTTACTTTTTACGCAAAAAATACTCAAATTTCATACGTAGATAGGTTATATTTTAACTTAGCATATAACATAGGACAATTTATTTATTTTATATAGTGATTACTATTTATTTATTTATTATTATTAACTTTTTGTACTGATTTACCCGTGTGAAGCAACTAGCAAATAAATACTTAAACAGAATAGTGATACGAACATTTGCTAGCTCTTGGACTATTCATGGCGTTTTAATGTATCATTTGCAAGGTAGAAAAAGTTTCACTCATTATACTTATCATATATAATATTATTCCTGATTACTCTCATTATTGTAACAACTAAACAAAATACAACATATTTTTTAGATAGATAGATAGATACTCTTTATTGTTTCCTCCAAAAGAATAAAATACAATACAATTTTTAATGAGTGAAAATGGAATGGTAACTTCCTAACTTACTTTCTGACTTACTGAGGGGAAAGGGTTGTTAGTAATGTGGACCATCAGTCCCATTGCTGGCAATATACCCTGACAGGTCGACCTCCACGTGGTCCCTCCTGGAAACCATCGTTCTGAATTCCAGGTGTATTTATCACGATGGGCTAACTGACCTGCTCTTTCATTTTCACTTATCATTGCTCACTGGTACCAAATTATTCAAATTATTCCAGTTATTTATCATGAATGGTGGATTTACCAACAGACTGAATAAACTGAAGCCTACAGCGGCAGATTTTAAAGGCAGCAAATTTGGGGATTGTTTTTTTTTTTTTTTGTAATCATTTAAATCACAATTTTATTCAAAAAAATATAATTTATATTTTTTTTTTATGCAACTTAGAATAGCAAATAATCTGACTGTCCCACTGATAGAAAATGGTAATTATCTCCTATAGATTTGAACAATAGCATGGACATAACAGAGTATACTGTTTCACCCATGATACCTCCCATGCGTTGCCATTCCTGAGAACTCAGGTGTTATTCCTCTGTACCCTGTAATAACACTGCCAAATCCCACCCTTTGAAGTGAAATACAGCCAATATAATTGAGAACTAGAATATGGAACTGTGAAGGTCAATAATGTTGGATTTTAAATAGCCTTCTGGCGGTATATATGCAAATCCATCACTGCCAGCAGAGTTTAATAGGTTACCTATTTATTTTTTATTAAAGAAAAACCAACAGTTAGAAAATTTTATAATAAAAAAAAGAAACATTAAACACAAAAACCAATTACAGGTTGTCACAAATAAAAACATGATTTAACTAATACTAATGGCATTTACTATATTTAATACTTTCAATAAAATAAATAAAACTTATTGAGCTTTGCTCTTTGAAGACACATGATGTCTAGTGAAATCGCCACAATGCGAATTTGCAAATTTACCTGACTTCATCCTCATCATTTAATAAGCTGGTGCCCCGCTATTATATACCATTTGCGTAGGCGGGTGCACCATTCCATCTTCATTATTCATGCATATATAATGAAATATTGCGTCTCACAAAAAATTTACTTCAATTGTCACAATACCAGATATTTTGATTTAAAACTAAATTACTGAACCGATTTAGATAAAATTTCTATGGAACCAATCCGTAAGTACTTATGTGCTTTACCTACAGATAAAAAGAATCTTCCAAATTGGTTTAATAGTAACAAAATTATAAGATAACAAAGATAAAAAAAATACAATCGAATTGAGAATTTCCTTTGTGAAGTCTGTTGAAAATAACTTTCGAAATACGTAAGGGTAAATATTTCAATATGTTTAGTGCTAAAGAATTGTTCTTGTTCTTAGCGCAAAAACGGAACGTCATGTGTGTGAGCGAGTGAAATAACAACGCATTCCATCCCACTCGTCTGCTGGTGCCCGTTCGTTGCGCGCGCCTACGTTCATTCATATAATTTGTCATTCTGTCATATGAACTCGTCGCTAATGTTGCCTTCTGTTGCCGTGCCGATCAATGATTGTTATTGTTTTTAATTTAAAAATATTTAAATGAAATAATTTTAATTAAACTGTTCTGCGCATATGTGTCAAAATTTTAAAGCTTAAATTACATTGTTATTATTTCCTATAAATATTACTCTGTGCGTATTGTCTGAAAAATCTTTCGGCAAGGTCATGACACCTTGAAATAGGCAATAAATGTGGAGTAATAGTGAATTTACTTTAATGCGTGCTCGAACTGTTTATATTATTAAAGTGAATTTCAATATTTTGTGATAGTGAAGTGACCGACTGAAGTGATAATGGGTTCTACAGGATTGACTCTGGCAGACTTGCCAAATATTTTTATTATGATCGGTGCACTCGTCGCTTTGTTCGTGGTATTAGTTATACTTCTCAGGTAAGTCATCCAATATATATCTGTATATATAATTATAAACATTTCGAAAACTTGTAGCCCTACTCTGTATCCGTGGGTAGCTACTTTTACTTACTTTCTCTCATTGATTACAGCTTAGAAATAGCCGCTGTTAGCCTTATGACATCAGAAACAGAACCTGATTTATCTATATACTATTTTACTGGTATATTTACAGTAGATTTCGTCACAGTTATGGATAATTTAGCAATAGGCAATGAATAAATTTTTAGTCACAAAAATAATGTAATGTAAAATCTTTATTATACATAACTCAGTTTAAAACTGGTAAATGATTTAATATACAATGGCGGACTTATAATAAATATAATATAATAAAATTACTAGTGCTAACTGTATTTGTAATAGAATAATTGCTGCTATGTTTATTCTTATCCTAGATATAGATAACTAATATGATATTAAAACTTTATCTACTCATTTATAAAAGCATTAGTTTATTTATCTATTAATATTTTTTTTTTCTTTATCAAACAATCTTAGCATGTTCTGTAATTTCACTTATTCATATAAAATGTTACAAAGCTAAAAAACTTATAACTACAGTAATTATATTTAATCATAAGTAATCAATTAATGCAAGAACCTTTTTATTGTAGTATATCATCTATTTAAAAAAAAACATGTTTGTTTATAAATATCCAGACTAAAGAAAAACATAATAAAGTTCATTCGTCATCAGTTTGCCTTGTTGCTGATAAAATAAATCCCAATGACTAAATAACAAATGTATGTGAAAATATTACATTCCCAATGTAGTATTATATAAGAATCTATTATATGAATATTACTAATTAATATCATTCTATGTTACTACTGACTTTTTCTCTCAACTTTATATGGATGTTGTTTAAAAGGAGACTGCCACTGCGACTTCTAGATGATATGTCAAAATAATATTAACACTAGATTTGAAGTTTGACCTTGATGTGCATTACTGTGAAAACTGCATCCAATTTGGAGTAGTAGTTTTTCCTTGATGCCATACAAACATATGGATGGACAAAATCCTGAAAATAATTGTTTTGACTTCTATGGCTATTTAATATATTTTTTGATATGAGAAGTCAGACCCCTCGTATAATTTTTATTTAAATATTTTCTATAATACAAATATTGTAAGATACCTTAATAATTAATGAATATGTAATTAATTACTAATATAATTATCTAATGATCTAGTATAACTATCATATATGTGTAAGTATATTTGTTATTCATATATATATTTATTCATTTATATATGTAATTTTAGTATGTATGTATATCAATAATTAGTAGTACTGCATTCAAGTATTCTGACACTTCCCTACGGTTGACTGGGAGAGAATGCTTTTAGCATTAAATCCGCCATGTACACATATATATACTAATGAATAAATAAATAAACTATCCTCTGTTAGTATCATTTGCTTATTATAACATTTATGTTGCAATAACTAAGCAAATTATTCATATTTTGTTTGTCTATATGTCTTTTCAACTGCTAGACTAACTTTATGTTGTACTTGGTTTATTTCAATACTAGGTTTTACCTGCGACTTCATTCATGTGACTAGAATATGTTTACTGACTGGAATAAAAAGTTAATTATATTCTTCTCCATCCCATATGTTCCATGGATACCATGTATAGGTTCCATATCCATGGAATATATAAAGAAATAGTGTTGTTTATGATTCACGATTCACCTCAAAGGTTAACTGGTAGAGAATATTTTTTAATTGATGATAATGTAATGGTAACCCTGACTGTACAGTATATGCTGGTGGACCATCAGGGAAGAATGATAGGTGAGAATGAAAAAGCAGGTCAGTTAGCTCATCATGATGAATACACCTGGAATTCAATACTATGGTTTCCAGAGGGACCATGTGAAGGTCGACTTGCCAGGGTATATTGCTAGCAATAAGATTGGTACTCCATATTACTAACGATCCCTTTCCCCCAGTAGAGAATGTTATTAGCATTAAATTTGATCCACCTTTTGTACTAAAACTTAACTTGCTCAATATAAATTTATTTATTTGAAAACTCAATTGGTAATGTACATCTTTTATATTTATAACTAGCTCTGTCTTATAGCATTTGGTATTTCGGTTGTGACCCCAACCACTCAATTCTCATAAAAATAAACCATTCATATATTGTTGGAGTGAAGAAATTTTAAGATTTTCCTGTCCTATTTCTATTGACAACATATTTATAGTTATATTTTTATATATTATAAATTAAGACAAATAGACGAAGGTGATGAGATGATTGAGTCACAGATCATTGTTAACTATTGTTTTGCTACTTGAAGCTAAACAGGCTTAAAGGTGAGACAATTGATGTGATTATGAGGCACTTGTTATTCTAATTTTTAATTCTATTATTAACCACAGTATAAGGAAAGCCAGTGGTTCAATGTCTTTAGCATATACTTAATGATTATACAACAATTCAAGATGCATTACTCTGTCTATATAACATCATATTTACAGTAAGACTACTTGAAGTGTCCTCTAGACTGTTATTACTATTCATATTAACTTATCAATGTTATGGATACTAGCTGCAGTTTTAAATGCTGACATTTATAAAAAAAAACATTTCTGAAGAGGTTTGTTTGAATCGAAGCATTTGGCATTCCATTGTTTCTGCCTACCCTAATGGGAGACAGGTGTGACAGATATGTATGTATGTATGTAAACATTTCTGTATGGGTCCGGCATAGAATATACCACCCTTTCCTTTCCCGTGGGTGTTGTAAGAGGTGACTAAGGGAACTTATGGTGGAGGGATAACCAGCAGCATCACTTTTAAAACATCACCAAAAACTAAACTGTGGTTGCCAAGCTGGCATGGCTAATATAGTATAAAAACATTCTGATGGTAATGCAGATATTTCCTCGTTGTATATAAATTGTAAAATTTTAATATTATTTTATCCTAAATTCATATGTGTAAATTTAAGTTGTTTGTGAGGAGACATAAATAAATATATTATATTATTATTATTATTCTAATAAATTAGTAACCTAAAATCAAACAGCTACTTGGAAAGGAAAGTACATAAAAATTAATTTTAAATTATCTCCACTAAATTGTTCCAGTGCTAATAAAGGCATTAGTAAGATTTGCCTGTTTAAAGGTTAAAGACTTACAAACCCATGATGTCATTGCTCCACAAAAAAAAAGTTGTTCATGTTAAAATTAATGAAAAATTAATTTATCAGAGGGAGACTTTGTACAAAAGTTGTTTGCTTGGGTACCTCCCATTCGTGTTATAACCGTAAAACAGTTGTGCTTGCATGGCTGTGTTTCGGTTTGAAGGGTGAGATATGGCGTGAATTTACAAGGTACAGAGGAATAACATCTAAGTCCTCAGGAATGGCAACGCATGGGGGGTATCATGGGCGAAACAGTATACTCTGTTATGTCCATAATACTGCTCATGTCTATAGGCGACGGTTACCACTTTCCATCAGGTGGGCCGTCAGCTTGTTTGCCATTATTATTGTTACAATAGAAGCTATTATTACTTCACCTAATAACTTATATTATACATACAAAAAAGAATGTGTAATATTTTAAATAGATAGATAATTATTTAAAAATGAGAAGTTAGTGGTTTATGCAATTTAAAGTATATTTTTTTAGAATCTATAAATTAAATAGGCAATTAAGTGGCTTCATGTAGCTTGCATCAGGTAAATGAGTCTTCATTTCTAAATATAAATGTACTGTTGGTTAAGAATTCAATTAATTTATAGTACTTTATGTTATTAAGTGTAATGATAATCATTAGATATCACTAATGAACCTTTTATTCCATAATATTTGTCATTATTATTAATTAAATCACTTACTAAATCATTTTGAAAACTAGTCACGTACTAAATCTATTTTCATGGTTATATTAAAAAAAAAAATTATAATCTTAAGGGATATTTCCTTTTCAATCAAATTAAAAAAAAAGAGGTCTCAATTTTTTTTTTTACGACTCTTATCAAATAACTCCGTCAGTTGTAAATTGATTTGGAAAATTCTTTTTTTATTAGGGTTCCGTACCACCAAAGGAAAAAATGGAACCCTTATATGATCACTTAGTTGTCTGTCCGTCCGTCTGTTTGTCAGGACCCTTTTTCTTATCAACACGTGGAGGTATCAAGTTGTAATTAATATCATACACTCAGGTCTACAATGTCTTAAAGCAAAATAAAGAAATCAAGCTTCTAATTCAACACAATCAAAAGATATGGCCGTTTATGTTTCATATATCTTTTGCAATGTCAATGCAAAGGGAATCAAAACCTGTAGGGTACTTTCCATTGACCTAGGATTATAAAATTTAACAAGAAGCAATGTCATGTAACACAAGTAAAGAAAAAAATCCTAAAACCCTAAATTTGTAGTGGTTTCACAAAAAAATAAACTTAATGATTTTGTACGGAACCCTCCTTGCACGAGTCCGACTCGCACTTGATCGGCTTTTATCTAAAAGGATATACTTACAGTTTTTAAATGAAAACAATAGATTTAGCCACAATTGAAGTTTTTATTTTTTATGGAACATTCCTATTATATGAAAAATTAGGCAATATCAATGTTGAACAAGGTGCTTAGTATTTTTTCTTTTCCTTCTTTTTTCCCTATACAGTGAGCAAGCCTTGAAACACAAATTCGACGCTAGCACGTAGTAAAACCATTCGGCTTGATAGTTTAAAACAAACGTGTTTTAGAATGAAGACTGCGAATTGGCGAGCGTAGTGTAGGACGAACTGTGGCTAAGTGGAGTGATGTCGGGGGGAAGGGATTGTTAGTAATGAGGTTTAACAGGCCCATTGCTAGCAACAGCCCTATCAGGTCGACCTCCACGCGGTTCCCCCTGGCAACCATCGTGGCTGATTCTAGTGTAATTCGTCACAATGGGCTAATTGACCTGCTTTCATCATCACCTATCATCCCTCATTGGT